CAGAGCCTGGAGCCTGTTTCAGATTCTGTGTCTCCCTCTCTCTCTGACACTCCCCCGTTCATGCTGTCTCTCCCTGTCTCAAAAATAAATAAATGTTAAAAAATTAAAAAAAATAAAAATAAAAAAAATAAAAGAGACAACAAACACTGGAAAGAGGTTTTCAACTTGCAGACACACATTGCCTATGGATCCTTAGAGGCCTGTGTGCAGCTTTCTTTGACAATAGGGCTAAACAAATGAGGAATCAACTTTCTGTTCTCTATCCAAAATTTGAATACTGAAGCCTTGAGGCCTCTGACTCATGGTACCATATTTTGATGTTCAGAGATCAGAGTCTTCTGCTCCCTGGGACATGTCACCATTCATTCATGTTGTAAAGGACCTAAAGGCACAAGAATGGAGGCAGGGCCCTGGGCTGACACATGCCACCAGCCCCAACACCTAAGACTCTTGTCTTTCCCTAGCAAGATATCAGGATTCCAGGCCTGATGTGATCTCCTGGTTGGACCAAGGCAAATTCCCATGGATGCTATGAAGGACATCTCTAGGGGGCCTTCTCCAGGTGAACAGGTGAGAAGAAGTTCTGAAGACTTACACACAAGGCCGTCCAGCAAGCCAGTGGTTTCTAGACATGTGGCCACAGAGCGTTCTTCCAGGGAAATTTGGGGCTGCTTCAGGAACACCAAGTTGCCTCAGCCTTGCCTCTGGGTGCCACTTTTTGAGCATGAGGTTTCTCATGGTCCTATTTGCTCTGTTCTACAATGCACATCCTTCCATCTGTGCTCTATAAATGGTGTCTCTTCCAGACTGCGCTTTTCTTCCTCTTGCATTTCTCTCAGGTCCTACTGTCATACCTTTGCAGACTGTCGCAGACTTTGAGTCTGGAGTTCTCTCCTGTCCAGCAAGAGAGTGGATGCAGAATTGAATATGAGAGAGGCTAATGTCCTTGTCCAAAGTAAGGGTCCTTGTTCTGTATTTATTAGGATCAGAAGGCTAACAAACCTGATGAACGTGCAGAGACAGTAAAACAGTGATCATTAACTCATGTTAGAGAAAAGGGCTAACGTGTGAGAGAAAAGGGCTTTCAAAGGTATGCAGTGTCAGGGGTTAGGGTGAATACAAGTCAAGGTCCCAGCGCCAAGCAGATGGCCATTTACTGCAGGCACCAGGCACTATGTCTATTCATCTTAACTTTTCTAGGAGCTAAGTCAGATAGAGCATGCTACCTCAGGGTTAACAAGGCATTTTTCTTGCTAATTAGCTCTGGGCATTTTCGCCCTGCTGTAGCGGTTTTTCACCTCTACCTGTTCTCGTACACTTTTGTCCTAAGTGGCTTTCTGCTCTAAGCCTTGTTAACCCATTGGTGCAAGTTCAGGGAATTCTTAAACTTATTCCCCCCAGCAGACTTGCTTAACTGTGCTGTCATCTCTCTTTGTGTTGGTTGGGCTGTGCCCTTCTCTGCCTTCTCTGTACTTAGTTCTTTCTGCAGTTCCCCCTTCCCCTGTCACAAATGTCTGTTTCCATGGCCCCAATTGTTGCCCTTCAGTCCTCCACGAAGTACTATTTTTATTTTCTGCCCCCATCTAATATACTTATTGGACCCTCTGTAACCACTTTTTATCCCTTGCTCATGTATCACAATGGCTCTCATTCTCAGTGCTCAAAATTCCAGATGTAACTCATATAGGTTATTATTTGAAAGCTGACAAGTCCCACTAAACTTACACATGTTACAATTAGTTTATGCTTCAGTTTCTCCATAGAAGTTTCTTCCATTACAGAGATTTTGCATGTGTAATTTCTTTCAGGCCAAGAAATAAGAACTTGAACCAAAGATTCAAGTCTGAACTACATTATTTCTGAAGACTTTTCCCCATAGAATAGCAGAAAAATTCAAGTCAGATGGCATTTTGTACTCCCTAAGTGAAGTCTCAGATTTTGGAGATTACTTAGGGTATCACTGGAGAATCCACCTGGTAAGCAATTTTTATTCATAAGAAAAAGCCTGATTCAGAATGTACTTAAATTTAATGAATTTGGGGAAGACTTTAGTCTGAATTCAAACCTTATTTAATGGAAGTGTACACCTGAAGGTTACATAGTGCACAACTGTAACAATGATAGCAATAACTTCACACAACCCAGAACCTAATCAATCAACAGAGAAGCTATACAAGTGAAAAACAAATATAGTGAACATGGGAAACACCTCAGCTGCATTACATATCTTCCTCAAATTCAGAAACATACTGGACTTGCAGAGATATACCGCCTCACACTGGAGACAAAACCTGCAATTGCAATGGTATAGGTACACATTCAATGATAGTGCATATCTTATCTTATTGAACATCAAAGACTCTCTCTATATATATACTAGGATATATATGTATATCTTATTATTGAATTATAATTAACATACAATGTTATATTCGTTTCAGATGTATAATATATCGATTCCACAATTCTATATATTACTCAGTGCTCACCACAATAAATGTAGTCACCATCTGTCCTAACCATATGTTATTATGATATTATTGACTATATTCTCTATGCTGTGCTTTTCATCTCTATGACTTATTTATTTTATACCCAGAAGTTTAAACCTCTTAATCCCCTTCACCTATTTTGCCTATCCCCCCAGCTCCCTTCTCTCCAGCAGCCATCAGTTTATTCTCTATATTTTTGAGTGTGTTTCTATTTTTTGGTTTCTTCATCTGTTTTGTTTTTTAGATGCTATATGATTTTTATATGCTATTTTTTAGATGCTATATGATTTTTTATGCTATTTTTAGATGCTATTTTTAGATGCTATATGATTCTACATAGGTGAAATCATATGGTATTTATCTTTCCCTGTCTTACTTATTTTGCTTAGGATAATACTCTCTAGGTCCATCCACCTCATCTCAAATGGCAAGATCTCATTCTTTTTTGATGGTTGAGTAATAGTACATTGTATATACAGTAAAACCTTGGTTTGCAAACATAATTCATTCCAGAAATATGCTGGTAATCCAAAGTACTTGTATATCAAAGCGAATTTCCCCATAAGAAACAATGGAAACTCAGATGATTTGTTCCACAACCCAAAAATATTCATATGAAAATGATAGCAATACTGCAATATAATGCAAAATAATAAAGAATATACAAAATACAAAGAAAAATGAACAAATTAACCTGCACTTACCTTTGAAAACCTTCATGGCTGGTGTGAGGGAGACAAGAGAGAGGAGGGTTATTGTGTAGGACAACTTTCACTAACACTAATGGAATCACTGCTGTCTGTTGGCTCAATGGAATGTTTTTCTTTTCATGAAACTTTAACAAGGAACCCATCCAATGACACTTGCTTTTGCCTCCTTTTGAGGATTTCACAGAAATGTGACATTGCATTGTCATTAAACAGGTTTATGGCTCACACTGCTACAGCCTTATTCGGGTGGTGCTTTTCTACAAAATTTTGCACTGTTTCCCACATTTTACACATCTCCCTAATCTCATTTGAAGTGAGGGAGTCCTCTGCCTTGTTCTCCTCCTCCTCTGCAGATGAGATCTCCTCCATAACCTCTTTTTGTTGCCCATGATGCAGATCCATCAGTTCATTGGTGGTCAGCTCTTGGCCATGTTCCTTCACCAGCTTTTGAATGTCGTCCTCGTTCACCTCCAGTCCCAAGGTCTTCCCCAAGGTCACAATTTCATTGACAACTGGCGGCTCCTGTTTATAAGCAAGCCCTTCTAAGTCATGTCCAAGAACACAATCAGGCCACAGTGTTCTCCAAACACTATGGCCTGAGACCAAGCATCAGAGATGATCACCCACTATCCTACAGCAAGAGAGAGTGAGAACCATTGGCTTTAGTTGTGATCGTGTAACTTTCGGTATAATATACTACTTGTATTGCAAGACATCACTCATTTGTCAAGTTAAAAATTATTAGAAATGCTTTCTCATCTTGCAGAACACTCACAGAACAAGCTACTCACAATCCAAGGTTTTACTGTATAATATTTCCTTTATCTATTCACTTATTAATGGACAATTAGGTTGTTTCCATATCTTGGCTACTGTAAATAACACTGCAATAAACACAAGCGTGCATACATCTTTTTGAATTACGGTTTTTGTTTTCTTTTTTATTTTACTTTTTTATTTGAGTCTAGTCAACACATAATGTTACATTAGTTTCAGGTGTAGGAATGAAATCTTATTAATGTAATAAATGTGAGAGAGCCTTCAGTAATAACTTCTCCTAATTAACATCAGAGAATTTGTACTGGAAAAATGTTCTACAAATGCTGAAATGGTGGGAAATCTTTCATAGATTTCACACATTATACAGCACACATGCAAAGAGACACCATATGAGTATAATGTAAATGAAAATCATTCAGCTGGCTGGGACTTATCCTTCATCCAACTTCAGAGTCATAGTAGGGAGAAACCCTATGAATGTAATGAGTGTGGCAAAGCTTATAATCAAAACACATCATGCAACATCAGAAGGTTCACAAAGTGAACGCCTATTAATATAATCAATGTGGGAAGGCTCTTAACTAAAGTACCTGTATTACTGTGAATCACAGAGCTCATACCGGGGTAAAGCTCGATCAATGTCATGAATGTGGCAAAATCTATAATCATAGGTTATCCCTTATTCAACACAAGAAGATTCGTACTGGAGAAAAACTATTTGAATATAAAAAATGTGGGAAAGCCTTTACTCAGAGCATTCAACTTACTTTATATCTGAGAGAAGTCCTATGACTGAACTATGCAGCCAAGCCTATAGTCATAAATCATAGGTCATAGGTCATAGGATCCTCAACTTAAGAGGATCCATACTGGAGAAAAACCTTTTGAATGTAATGAATATGGGAAAGTTTTCTGATGGAATACACATTTTACTCAACACCAAGAATTCACACCAAGAAAATCCTTATAATTGCAAAATGTGGTAAATCTTTCAGAAGTACATACCTTAATCAACATGAGAGAACTCATACTGAAGAGAACCCCTACAAGTGTAGTAACTGTTGTAAATCTTTTGGTCAGAGTGTGTATCTGACTCAATGCCAGAGGATGCATACCAGGGGAAAACCCTATGAATGTATGAAATGTGGGAAAGACTTCATCATAAGTGCCACCTTGGGGCACCTGGGTGGCTCAGTCAGTTGAGCGTCTGACTTTGGCTCAGGTCATGATCTCACAGTTCATGAGTTTGAGCCCTGCACTGGGCTCTGTGCTGACAGCTCAGACTGAGCCTGGAGACTGCTTCAGATTCTGTGTCTCCCTCTCTCTCTGCCCCTCCCCCACTCGTGCTCTGTCTCTCCAAAATAAAATAAACATTAAAAATTTTACAAAAATAAGTGCCACCTTATTCAACATCAAGGATTCATAAGAGGAAGAAGTCTTAAGAATGTACCAACACGAATTCAGACAAGAGAAATTCAACAAATATATTTTTTTTTAATTTTTTTTTCAACATTTATTTATTTTTCGGACAGAGAGAGACAGAGCATGAACGGGGGAGGGGCAGAGAGAGAGGGAGACACAGAATCGGAAACAGGCTCCAGGCTCTGAGCCACCAGCCCAGAGCCTGACGCGGGGCTCGAACTCACGGACCGCAGATCGTGACCTGGCTGAAGTCGGACGCTCAACCGACTGCGCCACCCAGGCGCCCCTCAACAAATATATTTAATGTGAGAAATATTTCAGCTACAATGCAAACTTCTCAACATCAGTGAAAGATAAATCCAAGAGAGATATTCTATGAATAATGATTGTGAGAAGTACTTCATAGTATGTCATTTATACAACATTATCTGTTTCTAATGAAGGATTCCTATGAATATGTCAAATTTGTAAAATATTGTAATGAATTTTTATCTCTTACTAAATATTAGGTAATAAACACTGGGAGAAACTACAAATAACATATTTTCACCACAAAATTAATCAATAAAGTGAGTCCTTTCTCCCAGTACTTTTGATTAACTTTCTAGAAAAATGTAAAAATAATGTATTTATATTTTTATAACATCTAGAAACAATGTTATAAATGAGGAGGGAGTTTAGTGTTACAGATATGATGCCCAGTTTTTAAGAGAAGTAACTTTGAATTTGGCAAATATTAAAACTGGCATGTCAAAAGCCTATACAGTGCCCATCTCCAACATTAATCTAAAATTAATTACTCTAGACACTACAGTGATCAACCCTATTATCTTGGATTTACCTTAATATTACAGTGTACTACATAGAGTTCTTTCCTATTTGGCAATTCCCAAACTATGCTGCAAAAATTAGAGAAGGGATTTTTTTAAAGACAATTTAATTCAGATGTTTTTCTTTGAAAATTATAAGTGACCCTTTGATACCATCTGGAATTGCCTTTTCTGGTTTTCTATGTTTGCTATTATGTTTAACAAACACAAGAATAAAAAAATCAAACTTCCTTTTTTCCAGCTGATTGGAGGGGGTAAGTTTTTGTCCTTTTTAGCTAATCAGATTAGCATTAACAGGTGTAGCTCAAAGAGATCTGTATGCAAATTTAATGAGACTTAATAGCTAAGATTCCTTTACTGCCCTTATTTCTTTTTTGCTTATTACTTAACAAATTCAAAACTCTTACAACTCCTACATTCAGCAAAAACAATTCTCTTTCTCACCCCAGGACTTTTTCCTTAAAAATAACATTTCAACTATTTGTAGAACATGGTTGTTTTTCCTTTATAAGCTTTTATTTTTTATATTTTTTATGTTAAAAAAATTTTTAATGTTTTATTTTTGAGACAGAGAGACAGAGCACGAGCAGGGGAAGGGCAGAGAGAGAAGGAGACACAGAATCTGAAGCAGTCTCCAGGCTCTGAGCTGTCAGCACAGAGCCTGACGTGGGGCTCAAACTCACGGACTGTGAGATCATGACCTGAAGCTGAAGTCGGATGCTTAACTGACTGAGCCACCCAGGCGCCCCTCCTTTACAAGCTTTTAAAAATTAATGTCTATGAGTTACATTATAAGGTAATTAAAACAATTTTCTTAACTCATACGCTGCATTTTATGCATCCAAATGGACTATATCCTTCCAAATGGCCGAGATAAAAGGGTCTGTATCAAATCCTGGGTTATATCCATTGCTCAAAATGCCTAAAATTCTCTTTGTTTTTAAATTGCCCTGGAGTACTTTTCAGGCCAAAAAACCAGCTAATTTCATTTCATGCCATGGATGCTTTCCAATGGTGCTTTCCAGATTTTCTCTTCCTGAGTCTCTTGACCCTTTAGCTACTCAGCTGAGGACAATTGAATAGTTTAATTTTGTTGGTGTGAATAACAAATGAATTCTCCCAGAGTTAACTGGAGTTGTATCAGTCAGCTAGAGCTACCATAACAAAATACCACAGATTGTGTTGCTTAAACAACAGAACTTGCTTTTTCTCACAGATCTGGGGGCTGGAAGTCCAGGAGCAGGGTGCCAGCGCAGTCGGACTCTGGTGAGAGAACTCTTCCTGGCTTGCAGACAGCTCCCTATTTGCCATGTCCTCACATGTCTGGTGTTCCTTCCTCTTCTTATAAGGGCACTAATCCCATCATAGACCCCACCCCATGACCTCACCTAAACTGAATTACCTCCCACTGCCAAATACCATTTCACTGGGGGCTAGGCTTTCAACATACGACTTTTGGAGGGAACACAAGCATTCAATCCATAGCAGGAGTGCTTCACTGTGTCCATGTTAGAGCTGACTAGCCCAGGCACATAGATTGTTAGTGACTTGTCGACACCATAGACACAGCATGTGGAGCCCTGAGGGTGTGCATCACCATAAGTCAGATTGTTGTGTGCCCCGAAAAAATGAACAATTAATGGACAAGATTTCACAAAGCCCATGTCTTCCAGGCACTTGGCTGCACATTGTCACTTCTTTTTGGCCATAAATTAAAGGGCAAATAGTCCTTCCAGACATTACGACATAGGGTTTATCATTTTATTATGAAAATGCTTCTAAAATTTGATAAGAAAGTAGTGAGGGGAAGACGGTGGTGGAGTAGGAGGACCCTAGGCTTACTTCCTTCCATGAATACAACTAGACAACTATGAAATCATTCTAAATGCCCTAGAAATCAGCCAGAAGACAAGCAGAGTAAACTCCACAACAAAAGGTAAAGAAGAGGCCACATCAAAGAAAGTAGGAAATACAGAGACAAAGTTTGAGAAACAGATCGTGGCCCCACAAGGGAAGGAAGTGAGGTCATGGAGTAGGATGAGAGACAGACTAGCACACAGGGGAACACAGGAAGAAAGCAAATCCCCACAGCAATTGGCTTGGAAAATGAGAGGGGCTGAATTTTGTGATTCTGGAAACCAGTGGAGCTTAAAGCCTGGAGTTTTAAAGGTCAGCAGAGTTGGCTGGGATAGAGCCTTGAGGGCATTGGAGCTGCTCTTGGGGAGAAGGCAGGCAGACAACCCAGAGATATACAGGGCAGAAACAGCAATCTGAAGAATGCCTTGGACACACAGTGGAAAGGTCAGTTGCTCATCTCAGAGTGTGTCCCAGAGAGGCAGTGTTCATGGAGAGACTCCTCCAGGAACAAAGGAAATAGCCAGTGCCATTTCTCTCCATGTCTCAGCATAAACACAGGGCCACTTGCAAGAGCTAGCTACCACTGACACTTGCTACCTATCTTGCTTACACCAAGCCCTGCCCTCCACACTCCAGTGGAATCGCCTTTCCCACACTTGCCTCAGTCCCAGTGTAGTGGGCTCCCTCCCCCAGAAGACTGGCCCAAACCCCTGCCTATACCACATCTCCAACCAGGGAATTTTGTGGGGCCTCGGTCTGGGCAGTGGTGGAAATAGACCCACACAAGCAGACCAGAGCACACATCATTAAAATGCACCACATTCAGGCCAGGTACCAAACACTGCCCACAACAAGCAAAGAGCTTCTGCAGACGACGGGCCTGAAGGATAAAGTGGCCAGGATAAAACAGCAGAGCACACACAGCACATGTTGGGGACACTCGCTGAAGTGCCAGGCCCTGGGGAACAGGAGACATTACACAGTAGGGTACTACAGGACCTTTCCTCATAAGGTCATTACCCTCAAGAACAGGAGATATAGCTGACTTTCTTAACACAAAGAAACAGGCACAGAGATTAGACAGAAGAATTTGTCACAAATGAAAGACCAGGACAAGGACAGGGCCAGAAATCTAAGTGAAACATATAAATAACATTCTTGATAAAGAATTTAAAGTAATGATCATAAAGGTACTCACTGGACTTGAGAAAAGAGTAGAAGACATCAGTGAGACCCTTAACACAGAGATAAGAATAACATAGCAGAGAAAGGGCTCAATAAACGAAATGAGAAAGATGCTTGATGGAATTAATTACAGTCTGGGAGAAGCAGAGGAACAAATTAATGACCTAGAAAACAGAGTAATGGAAAGTAATCAAGCTGAACAAAAGAGAAAAAAGAATTATGCAAAAACAATAATAGACTTAAGGAACTCAGTGACTCCATCAAATGTAATAACATTTGCATTATGGGAGTTCCTGAAGAAGAGAGAGAAAGGGGGTAGAAAATGTATTTGAAGAGATAATAGCTGAAAACTTCTCTAATCTGAGGAAGGAAACAGATATCAGATCCAGGGTGCACAGAGGACCCCCAACAAAATCAACAAAATCAGATCCACACCAAGACATATTATAATTAAAATGGCAAAATATACGGATAAAGAAGTTAAAAGCAGCAAGACAAAAGAAGACAGTTACACACAAGGGACACCCTATAAGGCTATCAGGGAATTTTTCAGCAGAAACCTATCAAGGAACTCACAAAATAAAGGTATATAAAATAAGACACCATATACCTAAAACATGGGGAGAGCTGGAGTAGAGAATGGGTTCAAACTTAAATTACCATAAATTTAATATAGACTTCTATATGCAGAAAAGGTTATATACAAATGGTAACCACAAATCAAAAACCACTAATAAATATGCAAAGAATAAAGAGAAAGAAATCCAAATATACCACTAAAGAAAACCAGCAAACCATGAAAGAGAGAAAGACAAGAAAGGATCAGAGAAAATCTTCAGAAACAACCACAAAACAGGTAATACAATGGCAATAAATACGTATCTATCAATAACTACTTTGAATGCAAATGGACTAAACACTCCAATCAAAAGATATAGGATGACAGAATGGATAAAAAACCAAGACCTATCCATATGCTTCTTACAGGAGAACTCATTTTAGACCTAAAAACACCTGCAGATTGAAAGTGAGGGGGCTGGAGAAACATTTATCATGCAAATGTATATCAAAAGAAAGTCAGAGTGGCAATACTTATATCAGACAAAATAGACTTTAAAACAAAGACTAACAAAAGACAAAGAAGGGCATTATATAATGATAAAAGAGATGGGAATGCAAGCTGGTGCAGCCACTCTGGAAAACAGTATGGAGGTTCCTCAAAAAACTAAAAATAGAACTACCCTACGACACAGCAATTGTACTACTAGGCATTTATCCATGGGATACAGTTGTGCTGTTTTGAAGGGACACATGCATCCCCATGTTTATAGCAGCACTATTAACAATAGCCAAAGTATGGAAAGAGCCCAAATGTCCATCAATGAATGAAGGATAAAGAAGATGTGGTATATATATACAATGGAGTATTACTTGGCAATCAAAAAGAATGAAATCTTGCCATTTGCAACTACGTGGATGGAACTGGAGGATAGTATGCTAAGTGAAATTAGAGAAAGACAAAAATCATATGACTTCACTCATATGAGGACTTTAAGAGAGAGAACAGAGGAACATAAGGGAAGGGAAACAAAAATAATATAAAAACAGGGAGGGGGACAAAACAGAAGAGACTCATAAATATGGAGAACAAACTGAGGGTTACTGGAAGGGTTGCGGGAGGGGGGTTGGGCTAAATGGGTAAGGAGCACTAAGGAATCTACTCCTGAAATCATTGTTGCACTATATGCTAACTAATTTGGATGTAAATTTTAAAAAATAAAAAAGTAAAATTAAAAAAAATAAAACACACACACAAATTTTAGATTAGACACTGTACAAGAAAGCTAGAAAATTTCCCGAAATCATATAGCTGATATATGAATGATAGACTTCCCCAGATTTGACCATAAACCTCAATATATACATGACATTACAAATGAATTGAGAAGCTGAGGAAAATTCTTCTCAACTATCATTAGTAAATAAATTTTATTGAGCCATGATGGAAGAAAATGTGAATTATCTTTCTATTTCTCACATAGCAAATATTACAAAATCATTTTTTATGCAGAGACAAATAATTGTTTAAATGTTGGGGAAAAGTGTTAGAGAGGTGTGTGAGATAGTTAATTAATAAAAAAAAAAAACTTCCTTTTGAAAAAATAAATAAATAAGCGAGATAATCCAAGAAGATATAACAGCAAAAGTGGTTTGCTGGTTTGAGATGCAGCAAAAGTGGTTCTAAGAGGGAAGTTCATAGCAATACCAGCCTGCATCAAAATGTAAATATCTATGCACCCAAATACATGACACAAATAATAACAAACAAAAAGGAACTAATTGATAATAATGCAATAATAGAAGGGGACTTCCATACCCCACTTACATCAATAGACAGATCATCTAAACAGAAAATCAACAAGGAAACAATGGCTTTGAATGACACACTGGACCAGATAGACTAAACAGATATAATCAGAACATTCCATCTTAGCAGAATACACATACTTTTCAAGTGCACATAGAATGAAATAGATTGCATAGTAGGCCACAAAACAAACTTCAAAAAATTTTAAAATATTGAAGTCATACCATGCATCTTTTCTCTAACCACAATGCTATGAAACTAGAATTCAAACACAAGAAAAAATCTGGAAAGGCCACGAATACATGGAGGTTAAATGACATGCTACTAAAGAATGCATGGGTCAAGTAGGAAATACAAGAAGAAATTAAAAAGGAAACAAATTAAAATGAAACCTTTGGGAAGCAGCAAAAGTGGTTCTAAGAGGGAAGTATATAGCAATACCAGCCTGCATCAAAATGCAAGAAAAATTGTAAATAAACAACCTAATCTTACACTTAAAAGAGCTAGAAAAAGAACAACAGGGGCGCCTGGGTGGCTCTCTCACAGTCAGTCATGAAATCAAGCCCTGCGTCAGGCTCAGCACTGGGTGTAGAGCCTGCTTAAGATTCTCTCTTTCTCCCCCTCTACCCAACTCCTGCTTGCTCTCTCTCTCTCTCTCTCAAAAAAAAAAAAAAAAAAAAAAAAAAAAAAAAAAAAAAGAACAAACAAAACCTAAAACCTGGAAAAGGAAGGAAACAATAAAGATCAGAGCAGAAATAAATGATGTAGAAACTGAAAAAAACAACAATAGAACAGATGAAAACAGGAGCTCATTCTTTGAAAACAAACAATGAAGGGGCGCCGGGATGGCTAAGTC